GTTCTGGCAGGTCACGTTAGTCAAGCTCACATCAGCTGACTCTCAGCTGATCCACATCTACCTATAGGGATGCGACACTTATCACAGCACTCATATATAAGCTCCTTCAGTACTATCACCAGCTTCACGTTGCTCAATAGCTAATTACCCACCTCCATCCCCGACTCCGCTTGTCAGCCAGGATTCAGCCTTCTGATTCTCCTTTGAATCAGGCTCATTTCTAAAAAGTACATTAAATTATTGAACCTAATGATATCTGCAATACATTTATGTTGTTCTGTTCTGTTTACCCTGGGGGGGTTATCGCTGCTCTCCCTGCTCTCATCCATGCTAGGCTGCATGGAGGCGCAGGGAGTTCTTGCCCAGAACGGAACCATACCGCCAATCCAAACTGTAGGCTAATTGTCAATCATCTTTGACGATAGTGGTCCTGACAGAAACAAAGGTTGATATTTTGCCTAGCAATCTGACTGAGATGAGAAGTGCAGTATATATATATATATATATATATTTGGGATGTAACGATATGAAAATGTTATATCCCGATTATAGTTACCAAACTTATCACGATTATCAATATTATCACGGTTTTGTTCAAATGAGATGAAAATGTAAAAAAAAAACTGATACACACACTGAAAACATTTCAATAAGCTTTATGTTTGAAAATCAACAAACAACAAATACAATTAACACCTATATGCACTTTTTTTTAGAATAAACATTAAATTAACATTAACATGAAGACCTAATAATAATAATAAATCACTTATATCACATATATATATATATATATATATATATATATATATATTCAAGGAAGTGATTTCCATTTGTGATCATGTGATCTTCGGTTAGGAGATCTTAGCTTTTTAAAGCAAAGTTGGGAATGATTTCGAGTTCACATACAAACATAAATAGAATAGGCTAATTAAATTGGTCTATTTTAATGTAAGACAACATATTTTTCGTCAGTGATAGAAATATGATTTAAGATGGAAGTGTAAGCAAGTTTAGTTGGAAAAAGTTTAATAGTAAATAAGACACAATTAGACAATATTTGAATAAAATAATAATAAATATTTATTTGCAACAACTGACGGAGTACTGAATGCTGCACGCACACGCAGTGTTGGCAAGGTAACATTTGGTCAGTCATTCCCTTCGCCAAGGGAGTTCCAAACGCTTATACGAGACAGTAAAGCCCTGCACACTTCAAGGGCTCTGCCCTTCGAAGGGAGTAGGGCAAAAATCTATATAATTTCTAATTTGAGGCTGTATTTCGTCGATTCTGGCACCCAACATCACAACATGATATTTTAAGCTCCTTATGTAGCTGAAACTGCGCTGGTTTGAATAGGCCACCTCCAGTTACCTGTACCATACATGACCCTAGTTACCTGTGGTTGGCCTGGTCATGCGTCACTCAGAACACAACAGGCTACTGTTGTCTGACATTTCAGCCATTCATCATCAAACTAAATTGCAGTCAACCAAACATAAAAGTTACACAGTTTATTTTAAAAGATCCACTGTAAAATCAGCGTGCAGCGCCCAAACAAACATTTTTGCTCATGTGAAGGATTATACACCGATATTAGAATATGAGTGAAGTATAAAGCCATGTTTAGGCTATATAATGAATAATAGTTATGCAAACAAATGTTACAAATATGACAAAAATGGAAACCTTTGGATTCTTTTGGTATGAGACAGGCTTGTGAGCCCAATGCCGTTTCAGTTTTGCTTGACATGTGTATGCTGTTTATAATGAATGCCAATAATAGTTATGCAAACAAATGTTACAAATATGACAAAAATGGAAACCTTTGGATTCTTTTGGTATGAGACAGGCTTGTGAGCCCAATGCCGTTTCAGTTTTGCTTGACATGTGTATGCTGTTTATAATGAATGCCACTATAGCCTAATTTGTGTTTTATTTTATAGTTTAATATATAATTTTATAACAACTTATTTTTCATTCTTGTTCTGTTCTGAATACCGTTAAATTTAAAATAATTGTTGTAGAGTGAGGGGAACTAAATAGGCTGTTTGTATTTACCAGTATTTTAATATACATATATATTACATAAATTATTGTAGCCTAATTGTTTGCAATTACATGGTTAACAGGTGTTTTTGGAGTAAGATTAATTTCTCTTTCACGAGATTACTTCCTCTTTATGACCAGGGTTTGTTTCTCCGTGTCGTAAACTCTAGGGGCGAAGCTTCTGAATCGTGTTTTTTTTTAGGGGCGTGATATTCAAATGAAGATTGTTTTCTGGCGCCACATTTATCAACATGCGATCATTCGTACGATGAGATT